CACTGAAAAAGCCACAACTTCAAGGCCGATTTTGACCGTTAAAACGGCGGGGCCCGCCTGGGCCCGCCGGACTTTTCCTAAAGTTCAACTATCCAACTGACGTTCTATGCAAAATAAATCTACAATATAGATCCAGGTTTCGCAAAAAACAACCAAATGATTATCCATGTCAAACACGTACGATAGACAAGCATTTTCAACATGGCATGATTTTCATCGACTAGTTTTGATACAAAAAATCCTCACCTGAATTTAAAACTTGTTCAGTAACTGGCATAGATATAATACTTGACGCTTGTAGAAAACGTTTTCTTGAGATACCTTTTAGATCGCAGAAACCGGTTCGAGAACGATGAGCTACCGAACCGACAAGACGAAAAACTTGTCCTCCATTACTCTGGCTGAGACGGCATATGATTGGTTGAATACTGTCACGTGAACCGTGTCCAACACCGCCTGGTGACTTGGCGAACAGCAGCCCCCTAAACCATCCCAATAGTGCACTTTGCACTAAAAATGGAACATTTCATGTTAATTATCCTCCTGCCATCGTATGTTGCTCCAATGTATCCGTATATATAACCTGCATATTACCGTATGTGCCTGTATGTACTCGTATGTTACTCGTATGTACTCGTATGTTACTCGTATGTGCTCGTATGTACTCGTATGTTTCTCGTATGTACTCGTGAGGGGTTTTAGTCACGATCCCACGTTACCACTCGAAACGAAGAAACCGTGACAAGTTTGACCACTCAAGCGTTCAATTTAACCTTTAGTGAATAATAAGCCGGGTAAATTCCCGGATTTGTAATCAATTACTGCTTCCACAATATTCAACTTTCGTGGAAACGGAGCATTGGTTTCGTGGTAACAACTCGCCAAACATTCTGAAGGTTTCGTAGGCCTAGCTTGTGAACAGCTTGATTGAAAACTGCAGCCTGTTTTAGAGGTAACCGAGTTGATGTCTTACGGTAGCTGAGGTAATTTAGCATTATGATACATGGCTAAATTCATTGTCGGAAAGCCGCTGTAATCATTTCACAGCTCCATCGATATACATAAAGATGTTCAGCTGTTGATGTTGGTGGCAAAGTAAACGTAATCGTTTATCATTGCAAATAAGTTGTTAACTCACGTATTAATATCGAAATAACTAACTTTGATAGGGTCATAACGACTGGAAAACATCACTGATCGATTGGTTAAAGAACATCCGCAGAATATTTCCATATTTTATCAATGTAAATATCAATTACGTCTTCAGAAGAGCAGCGTTTTTCTCTCAAAATTAACCTTTTAGATCCCTATTATATAAAGATTCTAGCTTAGTGAAGGCTGTTTCATTGCAAAATTATAGTTCGACGGCGGAAAAGTCCGAAAAGTCCGGAAAAGTCCGTGGACGAGAGGGAAATAACGATATTTCCTGAAAGTTTACCGACGTCGGTGTCGAGCCAGATGCATGCCAATCTCACCGTCTACACATTTTGATTGATCGTGCTTTACGCGCATCTATTAAGTTATTGAACAATGAATCGATCTTCAGAGAGTAGCGCCAGAAATATGCAGAAATTAGAGAACCCGGCAACCGGGAAGTTGGGAAATTAACTAAAACAAATGCTACCTTGAGCTGTTTTACCTGAGTGTCTCAAAGTTGTCAACAGATTGGTTGTGTTTAAAGACCCAGTTTTGGCCAGGATGCATTGCGCGCTGTGAGCATTGGCGGTCATTTATGTGATGTTGAAAAATCGGGAATTCGGTGTCTTTCTTTGAATCTGTTTACATCGGTCGAGTTGCAAGTTGAATATCGCTCGTTGAAAGTTATTTAAGCGTTGTGGTTATCAGAGAGTAGGTTTGGATATATTTTACGTGGAGCGTGGTCTCCGTAGTATGAGGAAATAGAAGGTGATGTCCAGTGCGATGGCGGTTCCTTCGAGCGGAAGACCGCGTTTATCGGGTTCAGTCCAGCAAATCAGACTTCGCTCCTCAGTTTTCGACCTATCGAACCAAAGGAAGTCAACTCTTGGTTTCGAAGGAGCCACTAATAGTGAATTTGCAGAATTCCTTCTCCATTTACCAACGGAGGGAACATTGCGATCTCCAAGGTAAGCTTGTATTTTTCCAGAACCGAGGTACAGTCGCATTGCTTCTCAATTCTTTGAGGTTACTGCAGACTCTATGATTCGTATGTGTATTCAATTTTAATTTCTCTTGCAGAGTTGTGGAGACAGATGTACATTTGGATGATAATTTATCGAATCCGAAGTACCCTCTGCTTTCCTTTACGCCGGTAGTGACATCTAAGCGCAGTTCGACACCATTTTCTTCGGCTGAGAGAGGGAGAATTGAACTAGACCATTCCTTGAGCGCCTTTAGTGAAAGCTCGTAAGTGATTGATAGTGGATTGATTATAATCACCGAAATTTGAAATTTGTATCTGTACTCTACTCGGAAACTACCGGTTTGTTTTTTTTTGTTTTTTTTGTTTTTTTTTGAAGTTATAGTAGTTTTTGTTCTGCATCGTGTATTTTTTCTCATCCACATTATGGTTTACTCACAGTATATTTATATGCACTGTTTGTCTTTGGAATCGTATGAAAGTGCTGCATACTCAAGCTGTGCAGAAATGTTATGTTTTTTTCTTCCATTATAGAAAGAGAAACAGTCTGTCTACATCAGTACATGTCTGTATAATATTTGTTGGGTTGCAAGGGAATCTTGCCATTACATGTACATGTAACTGTTACACTGCATTTTGGTAGAATTATTCTAAGCTGTTCATACTTTGTTATGTTCTCAGAAATGTTGTCACTGGTACAAGCTCTCTAACATGTATGAAGGAAAACAACTCAGTTACTAGTATAGGTAAGCAGGGTATCCCATTTACAGACCATTGGCACCATCTCTAAACAGTGCTATTGGTAATCCGTACTCCTCATTCAGTAATGACCAACAGTTGGTTTCAAACAAAACTGATGATGGCACCAATAATTATAACGATACTGATGATAATCATTGTGACGATGCTGATGATGAGGACGATGACGATAATGAAAGTAGAGCCATGGACATGTTTGAAGAGCAGTTCCCATTTGGAGACAGGTGAAATAAAATTTTTGTTACCTCTTCATTCCCTCACCCAGTTTGTGGTAAGGAAATTATACAGTATTAATCATGGCAAAAGTGAGGTTTGAATGTGACCACTGTGATAAAAAATATCTCTGATGATGTTTAGTTTTCTTTATATAACAGACTGGATTCAATCATTGAAGTGCTTTGCAGTGGACAAGAAGAAAGTGAATGTAGTGACAGGTAAGGTACATAGCATTGTTTATTTGAGATATCCTGGTAGATAGTCACAGTTTTGGGCAAGCTTTTGTTCCAAGTATCAAACATGAAGTTTGTGAGGAGTTGAAAGATTGGGTTGATCCAATTGTCAACCACTTTTGGTACTGTTGTCAAGTGGCAGATGGAAGTGTCAAGGAACTCAAGGTACATGTAATAGTGAACACATTTCTTTGTACCTCTACATGTAATTGCCTCAATTGTTTTATAATTTAGGCTCTATGGTATGATGCTATTTGTGGATCTGGATTTAAAATTATCATTGCAATAAATTCTAGGGAGAACCATCTACCTTGTACATCATATGCAGCATTTAATTTTGGGGTGGAGTAGTAGATGTTTTTTATGCCTTTTGGAGGCTAAATTTCTCCCTGCTTTTACAGTTTAGATTGATGTCCCCATTTGAGTCATTTATACTTTAGGAGAAAAAAAATTAATAAAACTTTCATTTTTCCTTTATAGAACACATGGCAGAGGGTGCTACACCACGTTTGTGGAGAACACACATGGGCTGAGTCAGCTTCCAAGCATGGCCCTCATGTTGAAGAGGAGTCATCAAGAAAGCCTTTATCTAAATCTTCAAAGGCAATGGCTGCGTTACGCAAGATTGTTCTAGACCCAAAATGGCTCAGCAACCTGCACTTCTATGTTCGATTCAGGTGAGCATTGCTGTTCTCTGACCACAAATTGTTTACCTTTTTTATTGTATTTATTACCTATCATTGTGTCTTCTTTATGATGTACATGTGACCTCTAGTATCTTCATGTCCCCTTGATTTCCAGATTCTCCTGTGCTCAATTTTTTGTTCTCATTCACTTTTAGGCATACAGAGGAATTGGAAAATTTCAACAGTATGATGACCAAGTATGCACCAAAGAGAATGGCATTTGAGTATGTGTTAGTTCAAAGTAAAATCTCATCAGACTTTTTGGGTATTATTCATTATTTATCATTTATTGTATCAAGACACATATCGTATTGTGGGAACATGTCTGGTTGAAGCTTTACTGATTTTTCTAGCTTTCTGAAAATATTTGTTGTATACAACTAGTACTCTAGCAGCCATTGACCACAATTTTCACCTATTCCGAAAGCCCAAGCAGAGCAAAGAGGGAGACCTTGTGGGGCATAGGAAATACTCCAAAAGAACACAACGATATCATGCTGAGGTTGTGAAAAAAGACAAGGCCTATGCATATTTTCCTTACATGGTGGCAAGGATGCTACACACAGAGAGAGGGTTTCAAGGCAGTTTTTCTGCTAAGAATGATGTTGTTGAATTTGACCCCAAACAGATCGCACCAACACTTGCCATGAAGGCCACACCATCGACAGAAGAGCTGATGAAAGCACCTTCAAGGTTTTCATTGAAACCCAAAGTCAATGGAAACATCCAGGAGTGATTTAGTTTTAATTTCGCAAGTACAGTGAAACTTTTTTAGAGCTTAATAACACCATAAATAATAAGTGAGCCCTGCAGCGGTTAATTGTGGGGATATTTTGTTAGTCTTGGGGTGGCACTTTTTAGGTATTCGAGATTTTTTCGGATGAAAAAGTGAGGATTTCTTTTTGCCATTTTGGATACCTGAAGTTTTTTCAAATTTTCCCATGTTCTCTGTTGGTGTTCATGTCAACAGTGTTTCATTGCATGTCACTTTATCATAACTCCCTTAAAAGATTTACCCCTCTTCACTTCAGATTATATCATGCAGTTTATTTCATTTTCAGTAAGCAAAGTTCCTTTTCTTCTTTCCTTTGTACAATAAATTGATTAATGTTGCTTCTTCTGAAAATCAATTTCCATGATAGTATATATGTTATATAGACAAATGTAGCACAGGCGTCCTGGATGCAAAAGTGTTATGTTACTCTCAAGGATGAAAACTGAGTTCATTAGTGTACCAACAACTCTTTTTCCATACAAAATGGTGATTGAGCATTATTTTGGTATGAGTCCTCTTGTAATTTTTATTGACAAATTTCAAATAGAACTCATTGTAACCCATTTTTGGAGAACAGAGTTTCCCCCTTCACTATGTAGTTTAGGAAGGGAGCATATGTCAATTAACACAGAAAGAACTATATTTTCATGAACATTTCTTTTTTCTGGTGCTCTTTGTTCTAACAAGATTTTCTTTAGAGGTGTTGGGTCAGGACAGTTTTAATTTTTTGGGCTCAGAGTAGTGACCACAATGCTTTGCTAGCCATTGCTGGTAATCCCACTGGTAAATTGTCCAAAATTTAACAAAGAACAAAACTACACATTGTGTCGATAGGTCATGCAGATGGACCTTGGTAATGTAAAATATGCAAATGAGATGACTGATGATGTCATGTCATACACCCAATGTTATATCAAGTATATAAATAGAGTTATCTCGGTCAATTTGCTGCCGAAACCATTGAAACTTGGCAGGCTAATAGTTCTACAGGCAACACACCTACAACTGTAAAAAAAATCTGTTTCCATGGCAACTCACTATTTTCCAGTCTCCACCCATTTGATTTCAATATGTTAGTAATTTTCGGGTCGAAAAACACTAAAGGAGGCCACGAACTTGAGCTAACATATGTATATGCTTGCTGGATCATGCATATGAGGCACTATTAGCAAATATGAAAATGGAACGCCAAAGGTGACCAGAAAAACCATGAAATTTGGGGAGTTCTGGAACCCAGTATGTTGCCACGGTAACAAATTGTTAAGCTTGTATTTTGGAGCACATTTAGTAGAATAACACTGCGAAGACTCAAATATTTCTGATGCAAATTAGCTGAGATATCTTTCTTCATTATATTTGATCAAAGCGTTGTTGAGTGTATGACGTCATCACTTGGTTAGTTTGCATATTTTGAAAACTTGAATATCTCTGGAACGAAAGGAGATATTTGAAAATAGTAAACAGCATTTTTCCTCTCAGACAGACTACTTGTTTATGTTTTAAAATGGCTTAGATAGGAAAGATTCGGTTTTCATCATAGTACCACTTAATAACTCTAAGGGTGAACAAGAGATGATTCTCTTCAATAATAAAGAGATTCTCATTGACGGGAGGACTGTTTTTTACCACGATTGGGTCGAAAATGGTGTCCTCACGCTGCATGTTGTAATCGACACTAGTGGCAATTTTTACCACTCGAACAGTTCCAACAGCGTTTTGGAATTAATTGTAATTTTCTCAATTATTTCAAGTAATCTCTGCAATCCCGACCGTCTTACAGAAAAAAGCCAGATGTCAACTTTTTATCTGGCAGCACCTTATTTCAATTATCCTCAGTCTTAACCATCGACCTCTTGAAACTTAGATCTAAAGACTATTATTGGCTTTTTCTCAATAAACGGAAGCCCCACGAGGCCCCAAAAATGGGACCGCGACTTTGCTCCGACGGCTTTGCCGTGGAAGCTGATCTTTAACACAGTGAAGGTTATTTGCAAAGAGAATCAACTGAGAGAATTTACTTTAAGCTAATCCATCGCATTGCCCCTCTGAAGAAAGAACTTACTCTCTATGGAATTACAGAAAATAATATATGTTTCTACTGTGGTGAGCCTGACTCAGTTCATACATTTCAAAACTGTAGTACAACAACTTCTTTTCACAATCGGCTGTTGAACTGGTTCAATGAGATGCAAAACACCTTAATATCCCCGGCAAACTACGAATTATTATTTGGTATGCCGCATGGGAAGGATAATAACAATCTAAGGAAACTGAATTTTTGTTTATTATTTGCTGACTACTATCTACATTATCAAAAGGTAAATGAAAGGAATCTTGACTGGGTTGAATTTACTACAAAAGTAAGTTGCAAGTTAAGAATAGAAAATCAAGTTTCTGGTTTTCTTTTATAATGCTTCTTCGCATTTTCTGTTCTGTTAATGCTTTTAAAAGGTATTAGAAAAGTGTGATATATAGTAAAAAAAAAAAATAGCTGTAAAACAGAGCACACGATAGCCCCATTTGATGTCGGTTTCTGAACGACCGTGCCAGTGAGTCAAGATTTAGACTTTTATGGTATGCTGAAGCTAAGAGAATTCGTCCAATACAAAACCAAAGTGTTCTTTAGAATCCCTTGGCATTTCTGAACAAATATCTAGTACTCTCAGAGGGCTTCAACTACGTGTGGACTTAAGTCTTTGAGAGTTGACTCTGGAGTCAGAGCACGAGAATTATTTTCTCAGTGTAAAAACATCAAAATTTTTTAGTATGCCCAAGGGTGAGAATTTCTTAAACTACAAAGTCAAAATAATATTTGAAATTGCTTGACATTTCTAAAGAAAGAT